TTTCTCTGAAATCTTGAAAATGAGTCCATAAAATAATTTTGTAGTCTTTTTTACTAAAATTATAGTTGAATGTAAGAAGGGAAATTTTATTTGAACTCATGTAACCTCTTTCTACACCCAACTTACTCTCTTCACCCATATTGTTTTTTATTAAAGAATTAATCTCTCTTTAAACCCAAAATTTATTACCAAAACTACCCTCTCAAACCCAATTCATAATGTTAAGTTATCTTTACACCCATCACCTTTATAAAATAACATTTGTAATTGAATAAAAAAATTAAAAAAAAGAGACGTCCTTGCCTCCACCTCCTCTTCCCACTAGCATTTCCATGGCTACTTTTTTTTTCTTTCAGCTACCAAACCCAAACATTTGCCTTTTTTATTTCTATTGATGTGCATAAGCAACAAATCAAACAATTCATCCCCTTATCTTTATCAACAAGCAAGGAAGTTTATAATCTAAGAATATTGGTAAGAAGTTTTTCCTTAGAATTTTCCAATTGTCGAAAGTTTAATAAACCATTCGGGATTGATGAAAAAAAATTGAAATCAAACGAACAAAATATTTATAAATTGAGTCATACCTTAGTTGGAGGATTCAAAACTTCAAAATCACCATCCATCAATAAAAAAAAAGTTTGTTTTTCTCTACAAGACCTATTAGGATTTTAGCTAGAATGAACGTAGGATAAACAAGAAGTGATGATAGGGTTTAATGGGTTTATTGATAAATTTGAATTTTATTATTAATTTTATTTTGTTCTTAATAGTAATTATGCAATAGGATAAAATAGATAATTAACAATTTAAATTTAAGTTAGGTATAGAAAGAGGTTACATGGGTTCAAATAAAATTTCTTATGTAAGAATTCATGGTTGAGCACTTGAGCTACAATATATGTGCATGGATCGAATTGTAACTTAATATATATAGAGGATAATGATTTGAGTCACGCCAATTGGAGGGGATAATATTCGCTATATTCAAGTTCGATGACCCTTTATTTTTCTATAAATAGAGTATTTTATTATATTATATATCGTCGATGACCCTATTTATGTTCACTTTTAACTTCATCTAATTTGCTTGCCTTTTTTTTTTTTCTATCAGACTGGGAGGGTTGGTATGGGCTCGACTGCTGTGTAGATGCTACAATAGAGTTCGATTTCGGTTGCGGCTTCCTTGTATGGTTTTTCTGTATGGGCTTCTTGCGCATTTGTTTACCCAAAAAAAAGAAAAGTATTAAAGATGAAAAGGAAGGGCAACTTCAAGCAGTGAGAGGCACTCACTGCAACAGAAATTTTCTCCCGCCAATTTTTTTTTTTTTTCCACAAGTGAACAGTTGAAATTTAACTAAATGAGATTCAGTTAAATCCCAACCCTTCTTTTTTGTCCTTTGATGTACAGGAGAGCAAAGCACCTCATTGTAATTATACCAGGACGACAATTTCCGAGCCCGGAACAACATTGAGTCCAAATCGAGCCTCATGTTGCTGATCGTTAATGAATGACATCTCTACTGCAACGCTTATCACAGTGGGACTACATGCGTTATCTTGTTCTGCTCCTCCTGTTTGGGTGTCCTTTCCATCCCCTCATATTTGTGTGGTCACGATTAAGACACGTCAACATTTTATATTCTTATTGTTTTTTGTCTTATTATCTCTATAAAAAAATATATAAAAATGCTGACGTGATTTAACTCTGACCGCACAAAATAGGAGGGAATGGAAAGGACATCCAAACAGGAGGGCAGACAATCTGCCTCCATATAACATTCAAAGCATATGACCAGGAAAAATAGGTTATTGATTAACAAATCAACTTGCATTGGACCTACCTAGCTACTGTTATCCCGCTTGAACTACCTAGCTTCGCAGACATCTTCAGCCCTAAGAGAAACATATCTGTTCTCTGCTGTATGATGAACCATCAGTTTGAATGCTTTTCAGATTCCAGATCTTCAAAAAGAAAATCACGTAAATAACCAGACCAAGCTTACTCATATGCACATTTAGAACACAAAAGAGGAACTGAAACCCACTTGAGGACAGGGTTGCAACTCAAATAAAAGAAGCTGGAGGCACAATTAAACAAAATTTCCTCTTTCAGAACAAATACTGAAGCTCCAACAACTCGCCTGAGCTTTAACTGCATCTAAGCAAGTAACATTAACCTTCAAATAGCGTTTAAGAACATAAATCACATCAAAATCCAAACATGAAAAAAAATTAAAAGGCATAAAATTCATAGTAAAACCGAAGCCAAAGACTGCAGCTATTTTACCCCATTGATATCAAGATGGAGCAAATGGGTACCCAGAAAATAAGAGCACACTTGCATGTTGCAAGGAAAGGGACCTAGTCCCCACTTTTCAGGGTCGTGCCTCTGGCTTAGCTATGAAGTTACCCGAGTGGCCACTAAAAAATTGAAAGAAAAAAAAAGTCCAATCTTCATTTTCTACATGATTGAGAAGCGGAGATGTTTAACAAGCACCACGAACAAAACAAACTGCAAAGCTTCACCTTTATTTCGCAAGTCTTCATAGTAGCATCCGCGTACCAAAAACCAGATAACCTTTTTAGGCTTCTGCAATCTCTATTTCCCCCTCCTGTAGTTCCTTGACTGCTCTTATAAGACCCCTTGTAATCCCATTGAGATGCAACCCGTTATCCTTCATTTCTTCAAGCAATTTCTCTGCTGTTCCCCAATCCAAAGCCTTAAGACAGAGAGATTGGATCAACTTACTGTACTCATCAACATTAGGTTGGACCCCAAAATGTTTCATCTCACCCAAAAACTTTAAACCTTCGTCAAAATCTTCCAGTTTGCAAAATCCACGGATAATTGTATGGTAAGTCACAGGACTCAGTTTAGGATGCTTCTTTTTGGCTTGGGATAATATTTTACAAGCCTCCTCCATCAGACCCCCATTTGCATAACCACTCATAATAACAGTGTAAGTATACACATCTGGTTTTAACCCCCTACTCTCCATTAGCTTCATCATCTCCATTGCCTCTCCCGTATCCCCAGCCTTAGAATAGCCATTGATAACCAAATTGAAAACTGCATTTCCTGGATGTGGGCCCTCCCTTGTCATCTCAAGAAGCAATTTTTTGGCCCCATCAACATCTTTTATCCTGCACAATCCTTGAACAACAGCTGAAAACGGCTTAATCCCATATTTCCGTGCTTCTCCAGATAAATCACCCAATATCTCTAGAGCTAAATTGACAGTTTCATCCTCCCTACAGAGTGAACTGATCAAAAGATTAACTGGCGAGCGTGGCAGGTCCTGCTTCTTCACCTTCATTGACAAATAAACCAAATGGGCATCTTTAGCTTTTTTGCCCTTGCAAAACCAAGATATGATCCTACCGACTCTCTCACCATCAGGCAAGACTCCTGCATCAAGCATCTTCTCGCAAACAGACTGAGCCCAATCAAAAAACGAACGCCTGCAGAGTGCTTCAATTGTAAAGTAATATGAATCTGCATTCGGGACACATCCAAAATCAGCAAACTTGTTGAACACCTCAAAAGCAGCTTTCCCTTTACCCAATTTTGAGAATGAGGATATCAATTCATTGAGAATTTCCAAATTCAACAGAGTATTTTCTTTCTCACCAATCTCCTTAACCAAATCCCATAGAAAGTATACATCTCTCTTCCTAACAAGGCCACTACATGTGGATCGTACAAGCGCATCGAGGACGTGAGTAGTGACTCTAAACTCGGGTTTCTCCTTCAAAGCCCATTTAATAAACCTAATCAAATTCTCACCCAAAACAAGCGGGGTTTCGACTAGTTTAACCACAAACTCAGAATGCAGAGTCAAATTTAAAGCATCAAAACTAGACTCAAGACTCCCATCAGCACTGCTCTGAAGGAGAGACAATACACTCTCCAGCTGCTCCAAATCAATCTCATAAACCTCTTGCCCTTTCCGCAACTCTACATCAACACCCTCCGAACACTTTTCCTCCGCGTACCCATCCCCAGGGGCAAGATTGTCCGGCTGGGAATCAACATTTTCACCAAATTCCACAGGGGCAGGTAGCTCTTCTCCTTGAGCGGAATCAGAATCCCTAGAGTTTTCTGAGAGCTGAGAGAAGAACCTAGGGTTTTGGAATCTAGTGTAAAAATGAGGAAATTGATCAACTAGAGGAGGAGTTAGTGTTTTAGAGGAAAGCACCTTGTGGTTTGGATGAGCTGCGGACAGCATCCGTGCCGCCGCCTGCGTCGAAAGGGACGCTGCTCTTGCTCTTGCTGTCACTGCATACCTCCACATGTCTATCTATGGATCTGCTCGGCGTGCCGAATTTACTCAACTCAAACAGTGAGCGACTGTGGGGTTCATATTCAAAAACCCTAATCTCTAGGGGGAGACGGAGAGGAGAAGTGCAGAAAATGAAACGTGGGCTTATGCACTCGGGTACGACCCGTATAACTAACTGCTTCCTCGTCGGGTTCTGGACAGCTAAGTTTAAAATGTTGGGCCGTTGGCCCAGCAGTTATAACATTAAGATTTCATTTTTCAAATCCGTTCTAGTCTCCACGTGGTCACATCGAAGTCCATCTTTGGGTTATTATAGGGAGGGACAAGCCGAACACAATTAAACCATTACAAATCTCCGCAGCGAAACAATCTTAGCATTATATGCGGCGTCGCGGTTCCCTTGTACCTTCTTGTTTTTCCTTCTGTTATTGCTGTTGGTTGTTTGCCTCTTGGGTAGGTTTTCTTGTATCTTTTTGGCATCTTTGCCCGGATATATCTTATCTGCTTTCCAAAAAATAAAAAAAACAATCCAAAATTACGTTCAAGTTGGGGAGATGATTCCTGCACGCCCTATCTATTTTTATCTCCTGATTCTTAAGGTTACCCCAAGTTAACCATTTTAGTTCAAAGCTCGGAAGGCGGCGGCCGATATAGGGTTCCATTGTAGTAGGCAGATTAAAAGAAACACAGGGAGAAACCGTGAAGAAAGAAAGATCATGAAACAATTAAGTTAATCGAAAAATGACAACAAACTTAAGTATCCAAGTTAGTTACCAGCAAAGACCTTAATTAGACAGAATATACAACATTACTTGCAGTTTCAGAAACGCTTCCTTGCTTTCTAAGCACTAAGGGTATTTCAACCTACAAGATCCGACTAAAATACCTTCAGCCCTGTTCAAATTCATAAATCCCGTGACAACAAATTCTACAAACAGTAAACGAGCATCGGATGCTGGATCTTTTTACAAGGAGTATTAATTCAGATGTATGACTGACATAACTATTGAGCATTGATAAAAACTCATTCAGCTTCAAGTTCGGCACCAAACTGCTCTAACCTTGCAGCATCCTCATCCAGATTCCGGACAGAAGCATGGTTAACTAAACCATCATCCTCACTTGCATGTACTTGTCTACCGCCAAACCTAAATGAACATAATAATAATAATTAAATGTAGAACCAAAAGAAAATGGGAAGACTATAATCATTGGAAATCTACAAAATAAACAATTAAGTTCTTAGTGGCGAGAAATTTTTCAATGTCATGACATGTGGTGTACCAGCTCGTACTTCCGAGCACACTGAAAAATCTCCCACAGCAGCACCATCTACCCAACCTTACACAATAACTGCAATTGTAATTTAGTAAACACACAATATTGATTACCATCGCCCATTCATCATTTCTATGCACTTCTGAGCATCATTCCTATCCTTGAATCTGACCACAACAACTCCCTGGGGATGATTCTCACAAACCTACAAAGAAAACAAAATGGGAACCTGAGGATATTAGGAAAGGGAAAAGAAAGAGGAACATACATAGACATGTATACACATATCACGGAGAAATTCTGAATGCCATTCTTCATCACACACATGAAGGGTATATTACCTTCACTGAGTCCACCGGACCAAGCTTCACACATTCCTCCTGAACATCCGCCTGCAATTCTGGACCTAAATTTTCATCTGCCTGTAAACATTATTTAGGAGAAAGGTTACCAGAACAGGATCAGAATAATAAAATACCCTTCTCGCAAGGCTTTATATATTGAGAAAGTTGTTGTGCAAATAAACATCACCAACTATTGATCCGTTGATACCTGATACGCAGAAGGAAAAAACAAGTTTTCCAACAGCATAGACACTACATATAATCTGTTAAGACAGCTATCAACTTACCCTCATTTCAGCAGGAGTGAACATGTAGCGAAGAATAACAGTAGCTGGAATTGACACCTTTCCATCGTCATGGCCGGCTGTAAGAAAATGTGATCATACTATTAGTGTTGTAGAGCACATAAGGTACTTCATGCCAAAATTTATGACAGAAAATGTCCAGCAGGTTATGAAGCATAGGCATATGCTAATTATCCACAGACATTCACGTCAGGTTCACATTATGCTTCACTGTAAAATCCGAAATACAAAGAAACTACTTGTGAAACATGGGAATATCTATATGATCCGCAAACATTTCCTTATGATTAAAACAATGAACACACTGCGGGCAGAAGAAAAAGTAGTTTGTATTTTAAAATTCAAGATGTAGAAGAATTTCTATAATATATGTCATATGATATGATAAAACAAAAAGGCATATTATTATTCACAAAAGAAAGGGAACAACTGACTGCAAAAGCTACACATACTACATTTGGAAAACAAGAATAGAAGCTTCAAGCATAAGTGGAAAGGAATCACAATATGAGGTATTCCTTCACCGGAATAAAGATATCTAATGCAAGAAGCTTTCTGTTTACGAATCAGCATGAAAAATAAGGTTAAGTAAGAACACGACTAATATTAATATATGAACCTACCCCAGCCAAGCATCTTCTCTTCCACTTTCTTCAGTTTCTTTTTCCTCTTGTTGTCTGCTTGTTTGGTAACAAATGTGTCCCCTGCATACATAACAAAAGCTTTTAAATAAAACAGAACACACTTGAAAGCTCATAATCTAAGGCATGCTATTGAAAATGTTTCTAATACTGTGTTGATGATGTTTTTAAGTGGTTCTCTCATTTGTATATAACGTAGCAAATATTTTAAAATCTCACACTAAAAGTACAAGACAAAAAAAGTTCAACAAATATCATCTGACTACTAACAATTACCTTTTTGCTGAAACTTGGCTTGGGTGACCGACATAAGAACCTTGCCACCAGGGCGTAGAGGTGTTCCGTCCAAAATTTGGGTAGCCAAAACAACCGATGGTTCCTATAGTTTACAAAAACGCATATAATAAAATACCCAGAAATGACACGTTACATCACAAAGACAGCAGAAGTAATAAAAAGCATTGTTACCTTCATATAAGTAACAAGTGCGTCTCCTTTTTTCTTTCCAGTTGCTTTGTCAACATACAGCTTCACACGAGGTTTTTTTGTTTCAGGATCCTATAAATTCCATTGAGTAACGAGCTTATATGGTGAGTATGAGAGCAGATATATATCAATTAAGCTACACAGTGCTGGATGTTTAACAAGGAACACAAAGTATAATGTTCACACTTAGTCTCATGATACGATAACAAGGCCACTTTCCATTATAATTTGACAATAACTCTTTAAGAAAAAAGTCTAAGAATTTGGTTGCGGACAAATACTGGACTAAAAAAAATCATTATGCAGAAAATGATTTAAAGCTATATAACCCTGTAGTTTTTTGCTCTAATTCTCAGATAAGTACAATGCATCTTTAAAAGTTTCCATTCCAAAAGATATTAATTCGCATCATTGAACCGTCTTAAAAAATGGTACTAATCAACAAAGTAACAACATGAATTGTATGAAAAGAAGAAAACTTTACCTCCTTTATGATCCCACATTTGGAAAACACCTCTACCACCTGACGAATATCACTGAAATTAGTAGTATGCCACAATAAATACAGAGAATAAAACAATGACGGGAACTTACTTCGTCGACTGTGACGTCATCAGGCAATCCGGTTGCATAAACATGCGTGTTGATCTTCAGCTCAAACCAACTTTCAGGAGGTTTATTAGCTTCCTGAAAATACAAGTAATAAGACAGGGGGGAGTCAACTGGTACTGCTTCATAAATCCTATACACATAGACCATTTCCAGTCTAGACTAGCATAACCAAATTTAATAATAGGATCCAATCACATTCCCCCAGAACAATAGAGTTTGATTAGTAGACTATAATAAATAAAAGATACACAATCATCAAAAGTAAAAGAACAAGATAAAAAGGGCAAACCTTCTTGTCAGCTTCCTTATCTGACAATTTCCTCTTAGAACTTTGATTGCCTTCTAACTCACTGCTACCATTGATATCATCTTCTTTAGAGGGATTGGAAGCCTTTACAGGTGCATTAACCTCTTCACTTGCGGTGGCTTCAGAAAAATTGGCAGCTGGGAAAACTTCCTCTTCCTGCAAAAAAGTCATATCTTCTACCCCGAAAGCGCTATCCTATTAGACATTAAATCAGTCAAATATACATTCAACAAAAACAAGCGAGACAGATTTTCAAGTTTGATATCAAAATTTTCCTATTTAATAAAATTGGAATACTGATCTGTTCGACAGACCATGGAAGGACACTCAGTGAAATGTTCAGAAACGTGGTACCCAACATTCTCTTCAAGGTTCGCCAATGTGCAACCAGACAACAAAAATCTACTTGTGTGCGTTCATTGGCATGCTACCAGATATACCATGAACAGAAAAACCACCACAAACAATAAAATGAAATATAAGAAAAACATAAGAAGGTGCAGCAACCATGAACCAACCTGGGGAACCCAAGCCCTAAGACCCTGATCCCACTTGTATGTTGTCCCATCATCATCGGTGAATTCTTCCTCTCCCTCGGGGGGCGTAGAAGGTCTGTCACTATCTGCTTGTTCTGCCTCGCATACATGCTTCTGCCATTTGTCGAAGTCGTCCTCATCATCAGTTGGGATTGGGGGCACTGCAATAGAAGTGAATAAATTGTAAGTCGAGTAAATCACGGAAGTGATAATCCCAAATCCAAAGAATAAAAAAGAACAAAGAATTGACCTGCGGTTGAAACATGAGATACTTGGTCGTGATGGGATATTGCAGTGACGAGGTCGGGAATGGAGGAGAGTGGCTGCCATGCGCTTCTTCCTTGAGCCCAGATGAGCGTATGGAGGGTGAGGTAGCCATTTAAGAAATGCTCTGTCCAGGCGAAGTAAGTAAGCAAATTAGAAGTGCAATTGAACATGATAAGTGAGACTGAAAGGGTGCTCTATTCAATTGATTACGAGTAGACTGAAATTCAGAAGAAGGAAACAATGTGGCAGTAAATTCAATTTCCATATTCAACATTACATCGCAATCGAGGTGAATCACTATTCTTTCTTCATTCCACACAGACAATTGAATGTTCATATCAATTGTCATTAATAATATTATAGGTTGTATATAATATAAGGTGCTGCTAGGGTAAGGGTAGGGGTAGGGGTAGGGGTAGGGGTAGGGCAAGGCAAACAAAACAAACTCACCCCGCAGCTCCGAGAATGCATAGGGACCAACATGCTGTTGATTTTCGCCCAGAATGAACCATCCCACTTCGCTCAACTCTTCTTCCATCCCCAATCTTTTATGCTCCCACCCTGCTGCTGCTGCAACTCCTACGAATCAAACCATATCAAATCACATCAAAACCATTTTCTTTATTCTATTCTTGCATTGTATTTGTACATACAATGTTAATTATATGTATATATTTATACAAGTTCCAACTTCCATGGGTTTTTTTGCTCAACAACGATTAGGATTGAGGTGATTTTGCTCAACAACGAAAATTACAAAATATAAAAAATATGCACGCCACGCACCCGAATGAATTTGCCGCGCTTGCTCTTCTTCTTCTTCTTCTTCTTCTTCTAGGTGGTGACTCTGCAAGTCCTTCTCCAACGTCATCGTCTGTCTCTGCAACTCCGACTGACAGACCAAATTGTAATTGTAATTGTAATATCTGTAATAATAAACTAATTGGAAAAAAGAATGGGAAACTTTGGGCTCTTTCCCATCACTTGGGCCTAATTGCTTCTTTCGGGTACAAATTTTGCCATCCGCCCCGTCTAATTCTAATTGAGGTCCAATGCCCTTCTACCGATAAACCAAATTCGTTTACGGGCCCATTCGGACAAGGGGATATTGAATTTTAATTTTAATTGTCTAATTGCATATCCTTATGTTTTAGTCAAATTAATTGAATACATAACTTTTGTTTATGAGTGGAGAAAATCCTACTTGATTATAGCACTAGTGACAATTTAAGTGTGGTGATGAAGTGCTTCTTTTGATTTATACAGAGAGTTATCAGTTTTTGGTTGAAGGAGCTACAATTTTGAAACATGATTTGTTCAAATGCATAAATTAAGTCTGCTTTCATACATGTTGATCAAAATTACTAGGGGCAATGAGAACGGAATATAATGGGAATTATAGTAGTAGTTTCACAATCCCTCTTACACCTTTCATATTGTTCGTGGCACCATAAAAATTAAGATACAAAATTTTTTTTTAAAAAACAAACGATTGCTACTGCAAGTCTGCAACTGTATATATATAATTGAATCAGACAATAAAAATAAGGAGCAAAAATTAATTAAGTAGCCGTTACAAAAGCTCGGTAATTGGTAACATGGGGGCGGTGGGGATTCCGATACCACTCCCAACGGTCATATTTCCGATCCTCACTCACAAGTCACACATTTGATTTGGGAGCCTCTCACATTACACTTTGATAGCCAAAAGAAAAAGTGACCGTTAGCCCTCCACCCCCACCAACCCCTTTTTTATTTATAAATTAGGGATGCTCCCCCGCAATCTGAATCACAAACCTCTCTCTCTCTCTCTCTCTCTCTCGATCAGGAAAAGGGGAGTTACACCTGCAAATTCAATCCAGCCTTTTGATTAGTTTCTGGTCATCAGCTTTGAGAAATCCAGATCCATCTAGTATCGTATTTAGTGGAGGCAAACTACAAATACATTCGATAATTGTTCGGAAATGGGTGGCATGTCGATGAATGTGACGAAGTTGGGAGGAGCAAGTTCAGAGTCGGAATACCACACCCACAAGGTGTTCCTGCTGAGCAACTACATATTGCTGGGAGCAGCCTCCAGCTGCATCTTCCTGACGCTGTCTCTGCGGCTGCTGCCGTCGGTGTGCGGTTTCTTCCTGATCCTGCTCCACGTGCTGACAATTGCCGGGGCCATATCGGGATGCGCGGCGGCGGGGAGCAGGTCGAGCTCCAAGTGGTACGGAGCGCACATGGTGTCGACGGTGCTGACGGCGATATTCCAAGGGTCGGTGGCGGTGCTGGTGTTCACGAGGACGGGGGACTTTCTCGGGGAGCTCAAGTCGTACGTGAGGGAAGAGGATGGGAGTGTGATTCTGAAATTGGCAGGAGGGCTGAGCGTGGTGATATTCTGCTTGGAGTGGGTGGTGCTCACACTCGCCTTCTTCCTGAGGTACTACGCCTCTGTTGAGGGAAGTGGTGGTGGCGCTGCTGGTATGAGGAGTTCCAAGGTGCAACAAGCAGCTGACGAGGATTTGAAGGACTGGCCATGGCCTTTCCAAGTCTAACATGGAACATAGGCCTGCTGGATCTGCTGCTCTCCTTTGATTTCATTTCATTTTATAATTTTATTCTCTAAAATAAATTCATTATGTATTTCATTCGTTCATTCAAATTCAATTGCTTGCTCGCTCGCTTGCTCGATGATCAGTAATTACTAGTTTCGGAATTTCAAGTTTTTCGATTAAATGAGTAAATGGAATGGCCATAGAATTCATAGCTTAATTTTTAATGAAAACGAGTTGATTAAAACTTTAAACACTGCAAGCGCATGATAAAATTGGCAGCCAAAATTGCCGAGGCTTGGTTCGATCGAGCCGCCACCAAGTAACACGAAAATTAAACAAGTCGCTTGATTAAAAAAATTAAATTCCGCCTTGGCCAAAAAAATGCATCAAACTACCATCCAACCACGACATCATAGGTGTAGCTTGTATAATCACTTGTGTATGCATCGCTCATTCTTCATTCACAGCTTTAATTGGTTTTCATTGCTCACAACAAAAGTGCATAGTTTGATGAAATTTTTGGAATTAAGAAGGAAATCTTTACTTTAGCATGAAGAAAGAGGACCGTTGAAAGGGCTAAAAATCTTTACTTTAATGATGTTGACACCTGCGTAAAGTGACATGACCATACATAGTCTCTTATCACAGCTTTGATTTGATCCGGTTCAAAAGCCAAGGTCTAAAACTGAAAGTTTATTTCGATTATTTGGCAACATGCTTGGATGGTTTTACTTCGCTTGGAAATTCATTCTCCTCCAACCAATGACTTGAGTGAAACTTACGAGTCCAGATCCTAAAGAGCAACACAAGAGTTTGAGAGAGGGAGGGACGGACGATTGCGTCATATAGAGGAAGGAAAATCATTCAATTACTTTATAAGTGAGCCCCAAAACAGCCAACAAAAATAGCAGCAGATACTCATAAACAACACACAGATTCATTCTAAAGGGAATTCGAAACCAACACAATTCTTACTCTCTTTTTTTTCTTTCTAGTTTCTGGGTTGACAGATTAAATAAAATACTAATCAGTACCAATACAAGAAAGAAAAAACAAAACAGTGCATCAACAAAAGTTTACTCCTCCATCCCACATTCTTCTAAACTTCCCAACCCTCTGAAGAGGCACGACGACAAGCCCTACCGAAATTACTCTCTACCAGACACAATAGGACATAGCTAGGTTGGGTGGCTGGGCGCGGGGAATGTGCACAATGCACTCAACCACCGCCCACTTAAACCTTTACTTCTCTACCAAAAATCCAGCTGAATGGAACAAGGGATGAAGCCTTGGCCCTTCCCTGTGCTCTTTCCTCCAACCTCCTGATTCTCGGTGGCAATTTACACACAAAATCTTGTGCCTTGCGTCCCTCACCAGAAAGACCAGTCAACTTCTCCACGTTCCATCTTCCAACCAAAAACTCCAATATATCAGCATAATCCCTGGCAGTATACACCTCAAGCCTCTGGGCAACAGCTGAGAAATGATCAAACAGATTATCATCCTGACCATCGTACATCAAGTGGGCGGGCATTGATATCTTTTTCCTCATCATGTCAGCTAAGGCCAACACAGTGCCATCTGGATCAATCTCAAACAGCTTTTCCACAATCTTTGTATACGCAGTTTCATGGCGCTTTTCATCCGAGGCAATGGTGCCACATATCTGAGCCAATTTCAAGTCCCCATGCTCTTTGGCTTGCCTGGCTGTGTTCCCATGGGAGATGAATGTTGCCCTCTCTTGGAATGAAGTGTAAATGAACCCAAGGTAGGGATTGTTCTCTGTTTTAGGATCCTACAGAACAGAAAAATTGAAAACCAAGATAGTATAAATGTAATATTAATTATTCATAATAATAATAGTACTAACTACTAACAGCATAAAAAGAAAATTTTAGCTATGTTTAACAGCCGTAAGCTGTGCAGAGTTTAAATCAGGCAACCAAAATTGGAGAGAGGGAAAATGGGGTAGATGTTCCTTCTTAAGAAGGTTCTGTGTGTGTGTGTGTATGTCTGAAACATAGTAGTGATAACTCATGAGATTACATCCATGAAAATAAGTGACAATCATGCAGTTACAACATTCCAATCAACGTAATCTCTTAATGGCTATTCCTTAAAGTAGTTTGTTAACTCAATAAGTCACACATAAATGCTTCATTTTCCACAAACGGTTACAATGCAGAGGTTCTCTGAGGTGCCAGAAGCATAGTGCTATAAAAGAACATAAAGAAAGACTTCCGTAAACAAAAATGACACTGGAACTTTAAGACACCATGTACTGTTCACATTCTATGACTTGTTCTCGTCTCCCTACTGTAATATATTAACGACCAGCCAAAAGGTTTTAAGCATCCCAAACTCCGGTCAGCGCAATAATGTAAAACAAAAAAGAAGAAGATAATAATAGCATTGCCCCTTATTCAACAAGTTTGCATCCTTCAAGATTAGTATAACATTGATGCTGAAAATCCTAAGCGTGGCTCAGAAAAGTTATCTAAAAATATCAGTGTCCAAAAAATAACAAAAACAGACAAAATGAGAGGAAAGAAAGCACTCACCATTCCTGATCCAATAAGGTACTGAATTGTCTTCTCGATTTGTCTCATATCTACTCGTCCAGAGAGATAAAGATACTTGTTAAGAAGATCACCATGCCTATTCTCTTCAGCAGTCCACGCCCTGGTCCAAATAGCCCAGGAAGTAAGGCTTGCACCAGTCTCATCCCGAACTCCGTCTAGGGTATTAAGCATTGTCTGGTACGTTGGAAGGGCTTCTTCTGTGATCATATCTCCAACCAACACAACAAAGTAATCATCAGGAATTTCCCTTGCTCTTTCCCTCAACTCCTTAACTTGCTCCTCAAATCCATCTGACTCAGGGAGCGGAAGAAAATCTTGTGGTTGCCAACATTTCTCAACAGGCTTTAGGTGTACCAAGATGTTATTCTCAGCCCAACCCTCTAATGACTTGAAGATCTCAATCTGTTGAGGAGGCATTGAATGAGTCACCTGAACATGTAACTCACGTGGAGGTCCAAAAGACTTCTTCAGATTCTCAGTCTCTCTATATAAAGCAGAAAAAATAGATTAAAAATTGGTATACTTCAAATAATGATTCTAACAACATCATCGTTCTCGATATAATTATCTAGAGGTGGGAGAGAGAGCGTACATATAGTCATACAAAGTTAACAAAAACGAGAAACGAGCAAGAGATTAAGATTGCCAATTTTTTTGGGGTGGGGGGGGGGAGGGGGGAGCAAACATGACCAGCAGCAATATACAGAACAGAGAAGTCAAATATACAGGCAACTACCAAATTCAGCTGTAAAACTGAACACAACAAACAGTAGTTGTTGCTTACAGCGTAACAGCTAAAACTGAAAAGGTGAAAACTTGAGAACATGGAAAAAAATGGATATCATGGATACCAATGTAAATCTCAATACGAATACCACTAACCATATCAACAAACAAATATGACACCCAAATGCTTGAAAATGTAAGGAGTAAGTGTCTAGCACAATAGAAACAATGATCTGACAACCTACATTGCACGAACCCATAAAATGATATTACAATTGACAAACAAGCAAATGCATAGACTCAAACATTAAGCACACAAAAGTAGCTGACTTTAATGGGAAAAAAATAAACTAGTGAGAAATCACTAAAAAAAAACTTTGTAATAACCACTCAATCACAGAAAGGGCCATTTAATTTTTAGTTTTAGTTCACTTTTTTGTGCTTGAGGTATGGAGAAAGTCTATGGGGGAAAGAAGGATGAAGAAGAATCGTCTGAATGAAGTAGAAAAAATGTACGAGGATAAATCTGTTTTTACTTTCAAGATATTGCTTTCATTAATTATTTTTTGTTTCTTCTTCTCCCTCCCACCAACTTTCTCCATCTACCCCTTCTTCCATATACTTTCTCCCTAAATCTTAAAAACCAAGTAATCGGAGAAATACAAAACCAAAAAATGCATAAAAAGAATAAGACACGGGGAAAATTGATACATTAAACTTGTATATGAAATAACATAGACTGAATAAATCGATTAAATAAATGAAATTAGTCAACTTACAGGACACAGTCCCAAAAGAAAGAGTTAAACCCAAGAAATCAGACCTACCCCTCAACTAATGTAAGAAATAGTTAAATACAAAGGGAAAACTTACTAGCGATTTTCATATCACTTTTTAAAATATCCCAGCAAGATCAACAGAATAAAATTCAATAGCAATAAGAGCACAAAGAGGATTTTTTTTTTATATAGAAAATAAGATTCAAAAAGCATCCAATCATCATTAGAAGTTCTACTATATGTTTCTGTAGCAAAATTGAACAGATAACCATTCGTGCAGGTGAAGGACAAGAGGAATTAGCTAACAACCGGATCCCAAAAATTAAACAAACAAAAAAAACAGAAAGGAAAATAGGAATACAATAAATTTCAATTATGCTTAGCAACCTCAATAATTACAAAAGACTTCTCAAAAAGTATACAAAATGAATGAGATTAATGCAAAATAGAATCCCAGAAATCCAAAAACAAACCCTGTTCAGCTGAATTAGCATAAAAAATTAGCAAATAAAAACTCAGATCAGCAGAATGGTTAAATATTCGTTCTTGGAGATACCCATCTGCATTTTCCCCAAGTGGGCACAGAATCCGAACACCCAAGATGATCAGCCGCGCACGCAAGCAATGAAAGTGCAGAAATGAATTGAAGAGAAGGAAACTCACTTGGTGGAGGAGTGAAGAGTGGAGGCCATGAAGATTTTGGGAGATCTGAGATTGTGGGACTTGGCAGTGAGGTTGTGAGACGGGAAGGTCAGCATCGAATTCAGACTCAGAGCCATCGGTTCTTTCTCTCTCTCTCTCTCTCTCTCTCTCTCTCAAGCTTTCTTTCTCTCTCTCTCGAGCTTTCCGCTTTCGTGAATCTCAGAGAAGTGCTAATTACGAGAGTTGGTTTCAAGTTATGTGACGTGAGGCTCTTACTGGGAGAGAAGGGGAAGGCAACACGACGAGAGAAGGAGAGAGGACAGCCGCAACCAAACGAGGAAATGTTTGGCGAGAGGGATGGGAAGTTTCTTTATTTAAAGTTACCTTGTTTCGATAAGGGCCACTCATTCCCACCTAATTACGTCATTGCCACTTTATTTTTTGGACAGTCG